TTTTTACCCCCCCCCCCCCCCATGATTTTTATAGAAAAAAAAAAAAAAAAAAAAACCAAAGACAATCTGTACTTTCTATAAATATTTAATTTGGGTGATACGAGTAGCTACATACATATACATGTACTCTTTGAGTTATTAATTAATTAAACCAGTCACGAAAAATGCTTCACCAGAAAAAAAAAAAAAAGAAGATGACCTAAAAATTATTCACGAATCAATTTTTTGACATCAAAATTAATTTTTTAAGAATATTCATTTTCAAATTTTATTAAAAAAATCAGTTTTTACTATTTCCTGGAAGATTGAAAAGTTTGGAAAGGGAAAAGAAAAGAAAAGAAAATAAAGACTAATTTCTTCCTTCCCTTCTCTTCCTCCCTCCTCAACAGTCAACACCATTTTCATACTGCAAGCTTAAGCTCACTACTCAAGCATTAATAAACTGAAACATTATTTAACTCAACAAGAGTAGAGTACAACAAACATGATCACAACCTTGGCCGAAGGCCTACACATATATATCATAGCTTAAAACTTCATAAACCAAGTACTAAACAACACCCATATGGTCATCGTAATCACATTTAATCAGAATCCAAAAGCACAATTGGATGAATTCTCTCTTTCCGTGAAAGTTTCCTCCAACCCAACACGAGGAAGCGAAAAATGCATGCCAAAGGATCAAAGTTGCCCTATAACAAGATGAAACCCACCTCAAAAGAGGCCATTAATTTCACCTTCATATACATGTATCACCTAAACATCACATAACGATTAACACACTAGAGTAGTACTCCCATAATCCTCGGTAAAAGAATCATAGGAAACTAGGAGAAAGAGTAACAAAACAAGAGTATCAAAGAGGAGACAGTAGAGGACCACCCCTACCATTTTGGTTGGGAGCCCAAAACTGGTAGGGATGGTCTTAAACGGAGGAGGAGAGGGAGGAAATGAAGGGTTTGAATAATGGGTTAATGTTATAATAGGTGAATATAGAGAGGAAGATGGTGTATGGTGATGAGGGGGAATCAAGAAAAGGGGTAAGGTGAGTTATATATGTATTAGTGCATGTTGGGTCACTTTTGGTTAAAGTGAAAATTAAAGGGAAAGTGGAGGGAGAGATTGAGATGGAGGTTTTTGATTGTGATATGAGTTTTAGCATCTTCCATGGGATATGCTATTTTCCACCTTCATTTGGTACCACACAGACATCATGACAGCTTTTAATTCTTTACCATTTCATCTTTTTCTTCAATATATATATATACATGTATGTACGTATATATGTATTATATCGTTGAGGTGGTGAGCTTCTGGTAGGTTGGGTTATCCGTGAGAGGCATGTAGAGAGAATGGACTAGTACTGGAGTATGGATGATCGAGAGCTTGACAAGTGGCAGTTTTAATGGAGGTTTGACAAGCTTTATAAATGTAATTATAGTTAGTTGTCGGATTTAATTTTTTTTTTTTTAATAAAATATATTTATTTATATAGACTGAGTGGTATTAATTTAGCTGTCAGGAAAGTGTATTTCCTATATTAAATAATTTAAATTTAATTTTTATAATTAACATTTTATGTTTAGTAATAAAATATAAATAATTAATTAAATTATTTTTTTTTTGTCACCTTCATATATTTTTCTAAATAAATTAAAAACAAATTTATACATAAATTTGACATTATTTTTAATTTATTTCAAAAATTACCTCAAAAAATCTATTAAAGATCAAAGATAATATACAATTTTATCAATCTTATTTTTTATATTAAGATCAAAAATATATTTATTAATTAAGTAATATATATATATATATATATAGTTGTGTCATAATACAACTCTATATTAAAAATTTACGAAAGTGCATTATTTGACTCAATTTAACAATTCTTTATATAAAAAAAAAAAGAATGTGGTAACTTTACAGTTAAAAATTTATTAGTTTTTTTTATTAAAAAAAGAATAAATTAGGGTTTTAACCCATTATAATTAATTTAATTAAAAAAATTAATTATTATAAAATATTTTTTTTATATAAAAATATAATAATTTTATTTAAATTTATTTTAACTTAATTATCGCAACTTGCACATTCACGCTAATGAAATAAAAATTTATTAGTTGATGCAGAGTAGGACTCAGCAACTCTTGTATAGTTTTGACTATGCTTGTCTTAACATGTGTTTTACATTTCTTCACATGGCCAAAAGGCGGGGCCCAGATTTTACAAGCAAAAAGATGGTGGGGCCACATCTTAGTTCTTTATCAAAAAAATGTGATGTAGTGTCGATCAAGTATTCTCATTGGCGGCTGCCCGCAGAGGATCATAGCCCCATCAATTTCATCAATCTTTTCTTTTTGATGAAAAAAAGTTTTCCAACTTATTACGAAACATAAAGTTCAGCTTTCTGCATATTTTAGGTTTCTTCAGCTTCCAGTGTCTGAGATTTCATATATAATATATGTATAGATGTATATATTAATGTTAGTGGGGTGACACCAGCGGTATCTTTCTCTTGTTCAAGGAACCAGAGAAAATTGATGCTTTATTTGATTGCGTAATCCGCCTTCATACTGGATTTGGCTCTTGACGACCCAGATGAGCCTGTCATTACAAATGGAAAATATTTTCCTACAGTTTTATATGATAAGCTGTTGGAAGTTGATTGAGTCGCCCTCTTGGAAAAAAATTCAATGATGTTAAAATATGTATATCATATATATAGGCTGAAAATTGTGGGTTTAGAAGTTTCATGAGAACCACCTCCTTCCATTTTTCACTCCCTTGAGCTTCATGACAAGTTCTTCACGTTGAGTTTCTACCTCTGCAAATTGAGACTCATGTGGAAATACCGTTCGCGAAGGTCTCTAAGCTCTGCCTCAAGCATTGATTTTGTACGCTCGTACTTT